GCATTTGTTAATTTTATTTTCATTTATACCCTTGATAATGGCGTCATGAAGTCGCCGAAACGTCGGGATTTTATATCGTTCGTTTTTACCTGTCTATGTATTACTAAATCTTTGTTAATAGTGAGTGGTGTTTTGAATTGAGATCATGCTCACTGATTGCATAAAGTAAGGAGCATGATGACTAATGAAGACTGCTGACCAGTTAATTAACATTCCCTCTTTCTAACATTATTAAGTACTAAAACTTACGTAGTGAATTATCATAGCAAAAACAAGCACAGAAAGGTACGAAAAGTTTAAGGCAAGGCTAAAAGATGTGAAAAGGTACAATGTGTTGAAGAGCAAAGACAGACTGAGATAGAAAAAGAGCAGAAAGTGGAGGCACTACTAAGCAAACTCATTGATTCTAAAGGAAGTTATCTCATTGGTCCTGATGACTTAAAGAGTTTGACAAATGTTGATGCCTTAGTGGCTCTCTAATTTTGTTATAGATGACTACATGAATTTGATCCAGTCTTTTGGCAACATCAAAGTAAGGGCTGTTTCATGGGAAAAATTTAAAAAGAGTACGAGCCATGCAGTTGCAGCACACCTTCAAGATCGTAAAATGTCAGCACTTTCTACATGTGATCTTATGATAATTCCTTGCAACAAGCCACACATTGAGCATTGATCTCTTTTTGTTGTTCTGCCAAAGAGTAAGATTGCTGCTGTGTTAGATAGTAAACCTGAAGGATTTGTAAAGCCTTCAACTCAAAATGTGATGAACAAGATAGGAGCTGTTCTAGCAGAGTCCAACTTCAATGTGGGGGACTGGACATTTGCATGTAATATGAAAGAAGAAGTTCCCCAGCAGACAAATGACTTTGATTGTGGTGTCTACATTTGTCTCTATGCCAGATGCTGAACAGGGCTAGGACCAATGATCAAAGAACCATGTTTTCCAGAATTTAGGCTTGGAATGGCATATAACCTGCACAGAATAATCTTGCAAAAGATCCCTGAGCCTGACATCACAATCGACCAGTTCTACGCAGTAGATTACCTCACCAACTACTTATACATTGGCAGAGCACAGAGTGTAGAAAACCAGATGGTGACCTTTAGATATCTACACAGAGTAGGAGCTTTCAAATTTGACTTTCCTAGAAGAGCAGATATCAACGCAAAGCTTGTCTCTTCAGTTTTCTTTGGTCCTTTGACCATTGAGAGTAGAGGTCATCTTAATACTCCCTTTCAATGCAAAAAGACATAGAAAAGATCTTTAAATCAATTAAATAAATAATATAGTTTCTACTTAATTGATTTTAGAGATCTTTTCCATGCTTGACAAAGCATGATTGTTTTGAGAATATGATCATGGCTAGTACATTTTGTAAGTCCATTTAGAGCATTCTAATTGTTTCCATGATTTCAAAGTTGTAGTTTTGTAGGCAAAGCAATTACAGTCTACTTCAGAATTATTGTTGAGCGCTATATGAACAATCCGAAACCATCTTTTTTTGTAAGGAAAAGATTCCTAAATAAAGTTGAAGAACTAGTATCTTGATTTCGATCATCATTTTGGAGAAAATGAGGAGAAAATCAAATCATTTTGTGAAAAAAGGATGTTGTAACGTCCACAACGTATTGTCCACATCAAACTTTAGGTGAAATTTCTGAATAACCAAAGTGAGATGCAAACAGCATTTTGATTCTAAAATGATCCTTGTATCAAGCTAATAGAACACCATAAACAGCTTCTGAATTGAGCTTCCCATTTTACTAGAAATTAAACTTAAAAGGTGCAAAAGTTGTGGACATTATGTAATCTCCACAACAGAAGTTTGAATATTTATTTTGAAGAAGAGATCAAGTATTCCTGAGATTTTTCTTTGACAGTTAAAAGGTACAGGTAATAGCTATAATTTCATGGCAAAATGAATGCCTTACTCCCCTTAGCAGAATTTTAATTGCAGAGTTAAGAATTGTAGGTGGAATTCCAATTTTAATTGTAAGAGCAACATAGATTTTTGAGAGGCTGATATGGAATGGGCATGGCAAGTAGTGACAACATTTTAACAATTCCAATAAATAGAGTTATCACGCTTTCAAAACACATTAAATCTACTAATATATTCCCAAAAATAAAAATATGATTTTTTCAGTGTCTCATGTGGAATTGTCCTTAATTCACCAAATTTATATTTTCCATTTGTATTTTCCGTGATATTTAACAGCATGTATGATTGTATGAAAACCTTCAGGCAAGTTATTCTTGAAAATATAAAATGTTCTTTTACTATAGAATTTATACAAT